ACCTTTTTACCCTTGGAATCCGACATTACCCCAATTCGCTGTAAAACAGATTGCAACACTACGTATACGCCCTGCTTCATGCGTCGTGATGACACCAGGGAATACTACCATCAAGACGAAGGGCAGCCTGAGGAGTACTTCCAGGTGTCTCAGCATTTTTTTATGACTCACAAGCTAGCGGACTACTTCAATCATCTCCAGATGCTTGGTGTGTAAGAGCATCCACTATGGGTGCGGTAACCAAGTGATTTATCGTAACTTTAACGCTAAATTATACACAGGTCCACTATGGACCTGTTTTAGACTTGCGGTCCGTACGACTGCATCAAATCTTGCTCTCCGTGTGTTCAAATCTACGCAAGCCTACGACTTGATTTATCGTAGGAAATCAAGTCAAAACTACTGTTCCCAAAACTTCAAACTGCATATGAAACTTCATTTCTCAAACTTCAAACATCAAAACCTCACTTTTGAACTTCAAATTTCAAACTTCATCCTCAAATCTCAACTTCGAGATATCACATCTCGGAACATTGCACTTTGAATTGAATCGATTTCAATCACAACATCACCCTATATCTTAATCTTTTGCGAGACACCTTAAGAATTGAGGTGCACAATAGTCAATTGCTGAGTAGGCTGAGCTCGAGCTCAATCTGTTTGGAATTGAGTCTGAAATGGTGAAGGTGGTGTGTGAAGCCTATAAAACAAGATTTCTAGACAAGTTGCTCAAATTCTTGATGTTCCTCATCATTGTGGTTTGAAGACTTCAAAAGACAGTCGATGTGTCTCTTCAAGGAACTTGTAGTGGGCATCTGATGGATGGTTTTTTGGATGGGATTTGTGAGAAAGATATGATAAATCATCGCAAAATCAAACCACTGTGGATCTGGTTGATTCACAGTGATTTATCGTAGTTAAATCAGACATTACATCAATCCGTAGTGGATTTCATGCGGTTACCAACTTAGGTAAAACACGCGTGATTAAATTTCGCGGTCAGGAACGCAAAACTTACGATAAATCACCATCATGATAGTGGATGCTCTAAGTACTTTTCACTATCCTCATCTTTCACCAACCAAGACCGATATTTTTTGGTTTATTATCATCATGGTTTAACAGGGTATCGATATACAATCTCGTGAACTCCTACAATCAAACACACACTCCTTTCAAGGTCATACATCCAAACGATTTCCTGAACCCCCATCACACTCAACCCCTCAGTCAAACTGTCTGTTCCCAGGGACTTGATATACATTGATTGATGCTGGCCTACAATAGGCGCAAATTGTGTTTGAAGGGTGACACAAATGGGCCGGACAATCGATGTTTTTTTGCGGCGATGGAGGATCACTCAACATGGCTAAAACACAAAGGATCTTCCTTCACTTCTCACGTTTGCTCCGTGTGTACTGAGGTTGAAGATATACCAGGAACAAACAAGGGTACCAGTAAGCAAAAATGATGAATTCTGTTCATTTACGTTAACTCCCAATGGTTTATGGCATCGATTCTGACTTAGTTTCACTGTAATTCTTTTTCAGTCATGCGCGCTCTAGTCACAGACGGTATAACCATTGGTCACTGGTCTTGTAGCGTTTCCGAAGTCCAACTCTGAGCTCTCAATCCTGAGTCAACAATGAATCACTGCAAACTTCACCTCAACAAAGTCAACGATCGGTACTGCCCTAAGCACCAATCAATGCTTGAAGGCTACTGCCAAGCACAGCCATGTGTTGAACGGGTTGTTGATGGTACCAACACATGCAAAGATCCTCAGCATATAGAAGCTTACAAATCATTCAAGGACCGCAACTTGTCTCTATTTGGTTTACCACGAAAGTTCAACCGCCCCAATACCCGCATCCAGATTGATCCTACCGAGATGCTTTCAGCTGAAACTGCGGAGATCACTGCCACAGAAGAACAAATGATGTATGCTGAGGTTGAAGAATGTGAACATGAAGCTGCGCGTGATGGAGGCGATAGCATCAAATCAAAGAAGATATTGCTGTCTTGTTCTTGTTCTCACAATGAACAGCTAATGGTTTGCTGCTGTGGTGTAGTGATTGCTAGGAAGACGTTCTTCAAATCGGAATCAGTCCCCAAGGTCAAAGTAAGTCATAAATTTTGATTTGTGTCTCTCTCATAGTCTCTCTCATTGTAAGTATTACTCGCTGTTGGTAACATGTTATTGACCTAGTGGAATGGGAGAAGTTGGTTATGTTACATTACATGTTTAAACTTGTGCTGACGGGTTGGACTTACCCAATCTTATTTATCATCTTTAGGTATGATGTCATACCTGATGACCACACTCTTTACCAACTTCCCATCGTGTTCACTATCGTCGAAGTTTCATTTCTTCAAACTCAAGTCTCATCATCTATTTGTTAAAACTTGTAGTAGTTATCAAATTGAAAGTTTTTCAGCCCTCCCTCCCACCCTTTTAAGTACAATGTTTTTCATATGTTGTGTTTTACATCCATCAAGATTTAGTTCATTAGCAAGCATTTTTTCTCTTATTTTTCATTTCCTTCTTACATCTATATTATCATTTCATTATTTTTTCATTTCTCTAATATTTTATCATATCTTTTATTTCAATTCAGTGTCTTATGTCAGATATGTTTCTTTTTGTTCTGGCAAGATGTGCGTTAGTTTTTTGTTGTTCGTGTACAAGTTATGTTTCACTTAAGACCGCTCGCTACCCCGTAGGGCGTTTGTTTGTTTCAAGTAATATTATATCCCTTGGCTTAGGCCTTGGGCTTTGCACCAAACAGTTTCTTCTTTGGTTTTCAAATACCAAACTATTAGTAAGTTTTAACAAATCCCATTTCTTACTTACGTTTCTTTTGGCCTTTAATAGGAATTCATATACGAGGTCTTTCCTGACGAGATGCCCCAAGTTATCTTCTACAATAACACGTGTGGGCTCTACTCCCACATCATGACTAATCCTGAAGATGCTGAGCGTTTCAAACATGCACTTCTCCCTGTCGACACCTTCCACATCAAGTCGCACAAGGAATCTCACACGACATGCCAAACTCACAACAATCCTCATAAATTTCCCGAATTGAAGAAACCAGATGGTAAGTGGAAGTTTAACGCTTCTGCGGCAGAGATTGTGAATGCATGTTTTGGGCGATTTGACTCAATGTGCCGTAACATGCATCCGATTAGATACAACTTATTCCTTGAAGAAATGATTCGCATCCACAATATTAGACTTTGTGACCAGCTTCAACAGAGGCAAGGTGTCTTTGTAGGCAGTGTTGACTATAGGTCCACCCCCATGTAATTAGACTTTCATGTTAATTTTTCGTAACTTTCATTCATTAATCATCATTGAAATCATTTGAACTGTGAATTTTTTTCTGTATCTGTAATGGTTTATTCTGCATTATTTTTTGTAACTTTCATTAATCAACTTTGAAATCATTTGAACTGATATTTCTTTCTGTAATGGTTTATTGTTCTCTCATTTAATTTTCGTAACTTTCATTAAACAACTTTGAAATTGAAATATTCTGCACTGTTATCTTTTGTCGGTAATAGTTTATTTGTCTAAGACCTTGGCATCTCTATGAACTAACACTTCTGTTATTTAGTGTTCATGGATTGGAAGTTGAAGCGATGCATACATTTTGTTTGATCAAGTAACAAGTAGACCAGTTAGAAACTAGTCAATAGATGAACAAAAAAAATTGAATGACCAGATGATACAACAGCTTAATTTTAAGGAGAAAGTAGATATCGGAAAGTAGTCAAGCCAATTCAATTGAAAGTAGTCAAGCCAATTCATTCATCTCTCAGAGTGGAGGCATCTGAAGCGCCGAGTAGTTCACAAATATAGTTACATTCATGGTCCCAAGCAAAGTGGAAAAAGGCCATTTTGGTTGTGTTGGAGGCTTGTCTCTCACTAAAGTAGTAGTAACGGTCAAAATCAATCGATGAGTACTCAATAATATTGCTTTGCCAAATTAGTTATGTACTCACTTTTTGTTACAGCAGATCATGTTGTTGATGGTACCTTCGATGTCACAGTCGATTTGACATATCAAAGTGTTGCCACCACTGGCATCCAATGTGTAGTGAATAAAAGCATGAATCAATTCTTTCCACGGATTAAAAGGTGGTGCTTGCATAATGAACTTGTAACTATAGACGTAGCGTTCATTTCGAGGTGCTGTTGGAATTCCACATAGGTACCAACCTGGTTCGGCTTCGCGTAGAGTACCAATGGTCTGTAAGAGGTATACCACTTGAGCCTGGTGCGATTGCTACCGAGTTAGCGTCATAGATAACTAGTGTGAACTAGATAGACAATCACCCACCTTTAGACCTAAAGCTTTACAAAACAAATCACCTAATTTATCGGCGTCATCACTCTCAGCCTCTAGGTGAAATAGCCATACATCGCGAAGGTCATCTTGGAACATTTGCAACATGCTAGCTGCAAAATGATTAGCCTGACCAAGTCGGAGCACTTGAGAGCGGGCGGAAGTGACACTTTTGTCCCACAGACATGGTATTTTGCCGTGAGTATATTTGGAAGGTCACCGTTTTCACCTTCTTCCACTTCGATCATATGGCCGAGCCAGCTTTCCCAGTCTCTACTGCCAATAAAACTGATAGCCAATCCAAACTCACATAAGACCAGGTGACTTTTGTAACCGGTGAAGTCTTCAGGTCGATACATAAGCGGCTTCTTTGAACGAGCTGAAAGCTGTGGAAGTGAGTAGATGAAGGCGGTGTTCTTCTTCAACAAGTCTACCCTGGTGAAGTTTTTGTCACGATCTGAAAGGGCAATCAAGCCTTTTCAGTCACCATTAACATGATAGAGTATAAAGATACAAATAGACTGAACTTTGTGTGGGGTGATTGTTGGAATTATCGGTGTTATGCTTGATATCATTTGATTCATCTATAGAATTCACGTTAGCATTTTGGAGATTATAAGTGGTATGAAGTGTAATGAAGATGATCACTCAACTCTTTTCTTTACCCAAAGAACTAGTTGGTAAGGTAGTCGACGTTGTGATCACAGAGGGTGACCCATTATTGGTGGAAGTGGTAGCTGATGCTGTGTCAGGATCAGACATCCTGTCCCAAACACGATCAGCTGCACTCTTGACGACGCCACCAAGAGTCCCTTCATCACTTTCAGATACATGGGTCTGGTCAGTGACCCCGGGAGAACGTTCAGATGTTGGAGTACTAGGTGGAGGAGCTTTCTTTTTGGATGCTGATTGAGTGAAAGACAGCATTCTGATCCTATCTAATTTTTGGCCAAACAAAACAAGGTGAGATTTCCAAACAATGTTAGATTTAAGTATCCTACGTAGCATTCTAAAGTAGAGTAGAGAAATCTGTGTAGACACACATAAAGGATGTGATTGGGATGGGATGTGGATAGAAGGGTGGTAAAAGGTTGTGTGTTTGTTGCAGGACCCATTATATAGAGATTTCTACAGCAAGTAGAAATCTCTATATAGTGTGTCCGTGTGTTGTCAGCACTTGCTAGTCGAGTGCTTCAAAATCGAACTCATCATAAACGTGATTTGCTCGGGTAACTCACTTGAGAGATCCTTCAAGCTCAGCAGTCTTCAGTCTTCAGTCTTCACATAGATTTCCAGTAATAAACGATCGAGGTTACATTTGTAAATTTATCAAGAAGTTATCTATTTACACTACTTGCACAACCGAGCCAGAATCACTAACAAGTAAGATAAAAGGGGGCATGACATTGGGCGTAAGAGTTTCTTTGGTTTCATTTGCTGATAGATATATAACAAGTTAGAAACGGTAATTAATACATCAGAAATATAATAATACTATACACAAATATCACTAATTAATAAAATAGAGATATCACTAAATAATAAAATAGAGAGACGTGGAAAACCATCTTACTACAATCTGACCTTCTTACCAGGTCGGCTTGGTGATTGTCAGCTGCCTTCCACTCTGTTTTGAAATGCTTTGGGCCATGCTTAACGAGCTGGTCGCCATGGATGGCTACATAAGGATTAAGTCTTGCTGACGTGACACATTTAAGCCATTGTTGATATGTTGAGACAGTTGAATCTACATAGTTGTAGCGGGACCCAAAAACAGCTTTGAAAGCTTCTTTGTTGGTTTTATTCCAAGGTTCCATAGTCAGGTCAAAGAATGATTTCATTTTGGACATTGTGACGACGGTCTTGCCTGGCCATCCTGTAGGTGTGGTTGGAACTGGTCCGTTAGGTGTCGTCAGAACTGTTGTTTCATTGTCGGACAATACAATGGGTGAAGGTGAGCGAGCGCGTTTGTTCGGTTGTGACCCTCGTTTTTCGATATCAACAGCTGAGGATGAGGTCTCGCCTGTGGAGATTTTGGAGGTGCTTGCGCGTTGCTTATTGGCAAGTGGGGAAAGTGATTGGGTCGGGGGTGATGACAGTAGATCGACCATCCTTCCCTTGCCCTTTTCCTTCTGGGGTGATTCAGAGGCGTGTTGCTGTATGAAGGCTGTGAGATTCATTCTTTCTTTTTTGCCGCCAGTGGAAACCGAAGCTAATTGGCTAACAATATCCTTGCATTTGAGGGGATCCACTCGTGGAAATACAACTAGCAGTTTGCGTGTGTTGACTGGATACGTCACCAATATGTCCATGGGGGTATGAAGCTGATTGTTTGAAACAATTTTAACTTAGCCGTTCAGTTGAGCCAAAATAAAATATGTTGGCCTTACCCAAAGTTGATGTTCTTCGCTCCATACTTGCAAGCCTCCATTCCATTCTGCGCCGAGCTGATGCTCAACCATCGCTTTGATGTCATTTGACTGTGAAAGACAGAATTGAGGCCAGCTATCTGCTTTCACAATACCGGCCCAGAAATCATGTGGATTGTCCTAGAGTGAAGTGGCATGGTCAGTAGCGAGTTTGTCTCAGATTAAACGTCATATGTTGATTCATTGACTTAAAACACTTACTCTTGAGGAACCCCACACTACCAGAGCAATCGATCTTTTTGCTCGCTCAGCATTCGCTGTGTGTAATCGTTCTTCGGCTTGATCTGACAACTGCAAGGCCCTAAACTCTCCTAGATATGACAAGGGGAGCCGGTTCTTATACACCTGACGTCCCATGCTGCGGTCACCCTGTTTAGTTGGGTGGTTCATTGTGTTTCCATTTCCATCTTCAGCTGAGGCGATGAGGATGTCAGCTTGTTGAGTCTGTTGAGTCGTCTGTTGTTTCCGCTGGTTGGTCTGCAGTTTCCGCTGGTCGATTGAATTCATGGCATTGTGCTTCAAACACGGAACGGTGGTGTTCAACATCAAGCAACACTGTTGAAAATCCGGTTTGAAATTGCAATTAGCTTAGCTTTGCCTCATTAAACATATTCGCTTTGTAAGTACTCACCGCCTTGCATGCATTCGCAGGGCATCCGGCATTCTTTCGCAAGTTATGACGCGGGGCGGTTCTTCCGTGTATGCCATTGCAGGTGCCGCCAGTGTCATTGGGAGGTTGGGGCGCTGGGTCATTACAAGTTTTGTTTGGCTGCTGGGTGGCAGGAGGAGTAGGCGGCCCATTGAGCATATGTTGAGTGTCTATTGGAATTGGATAGCCGTTGATTGGTGCAGGTTGGTCTCCTTGGAGATTGTTGTTGATTGCAGCAAGGTCGTCTTTAAATTTCCGGCTGTTGTAGGTTCAAACGTAGTCCTTGTCAAACGGGCACTAGAAATTCATCAAATGTTGGGTGGGTTCATGGGTTCCACCGTGGCTAAAACGTAACTTAGCTCACCTTGACACCTGTGAGCCAGCTGCTGTTCGAATGAAAGTACACCGTTGAATGAGCTGGTCTGGTCTTACAATTGCTCGAAGGGCAAACTATGGCCGTCTCCTGGGGGGATTTGGAGCGTTTCGATTTGCTTGGTGGGTACGGTAAAGGCTGGTAAGGGTTAATGGGCACAATGTTATAATGAGATTGTCGGTTTGGCATTGAGAGCAATGAGAGGAAGGATGCAAATATGTTGGCTAGCCAACAATTTATCTTGTTAAATAATGTTGGTGTCGCCATGGTCAATCCTTGGGGTGATTCATCAGCTAGATATTCTTCTTGTTCCGTACTCATTTTGTGTCGAGCGGCTTGGTTGAGACAATATTGTTGACAAATTATAAGATCATCATGAGAATGTGATCTACTATGGGGAAAGAGATACACATATGGCACATATCCGTTTTCGGACTTCATATGCATTTCCTGATTAAAGGGAAATATGTATTGAATGATCCTTTGCGTCATCTGTTTTGGTCTATATTGGTATACTGGGGATAGTGTGGACGTAAACAGTATAACAAATGTTGTACTTGGCGATGTATTACTGTATGGTCATGCGGCAGAAAGCTCGCAACTAGCAACCTATGGCTGATAACAGCAATATCTTTAACCCAGATGTGCGCATGTGATGACTACATCTGGACATTCACTTTTTGTTTTTTTACCTTGTCAGTTGATTACCTCGCTTGTGTTTGTCTCCCTCATGCTTTCTCTTCTCTCACTCGATCAATATGTACAAACTTCAATGACCGTTGATATATCACATGGAACAAATAGGTGAAAGAAATGAACTGAAATGACACGTTATAAACTATATACACACACACACAATCTAAAGTAACACAAACTAGACCCTTGGTACAACCCCTTCTGCCTCACGACGAGTGTTCCAAATTTCTTGGATCAAGTTGTCTCAAAGTGCAAAATGCGCATCAGCCTCACGGTATGCACTCCTGCCCTGCATAAAACGTGCAGTCAAACCAATAGGCCTAGGAAGCTGAGGTGGCGGTAACAACTCTTCGCGTTCAAAATACTCTAAACCAACATCTCCCTGCGATTCAATAATCATATTATGCAATATGATACAAGTGTTCATAATGAGAGCAAGAGAAGATGGCTGCCACATCCTGGCAGCACCCTTGACAATGTGAAAGTGTGCCTGTAGAACCCCAAAAGCATGTTCCACATCCTTTCTAACCAACTCTTGGTATTTAGCAAATAACTTCAAAAAATCAATGAAGAAATTAGACATCCTTATCCGGAACAAAAGAAATAAGTTGAAAACGATAAACATACACTAAGTTCTGGGGTAGATGGAGCACTAAAAGTTTTAACCAACGTAGACCAGTTCAGGTAGATGCCATCTGCCAAGTAATAACCAGTGTGATAGTCGTGACCGTTGACGACAAAGTCACAGGGTGGCGCCTCGCCTTGTGATAGTTCGGTGAAAAAACTAAAGCGCTCAAGGACGTTGATGTCATTCATAGCACCTGGCATTCCAAAGAAGGAATGCCAGATCCATAGATCTCGAGTAGCAACTGCTTCTAGCACAAGGTTTGGCTTCCCTTTTCGACTGGAGAAGTGGCCTTGAAGCGCCTTGGGGCAATTATTCCACTGCCAGTGCATGCAGTCGAGCAATCCAAGCATACCGGGAAATCCACATTCGGTGTTTTCGGCGACAATACGCTGAACGTCTTGAGCATTTGGTTGACGTTGATACACAGGGCTGAACAGTTGGATTACACCATTGCAGAATTGAAGAAGACATTCGATAGCCGTCGATTCTCCAATGCGTAAGTACTCGTTGTTTTGATCGGCAGTAGTTCCGTAGGCAAGTTGACGTATAGCCGTGGTGCACTTCTGATGAGGCAAGAGTCCAGGTTTACCTGCCGTTCAATGTGATAAAATCTGTTAATCCATAGCCTTAAAAGGGTCATAATCAGAATGGATAAGGCTTACCCAAAGCATCACTACGTTGGGTTAAGTACACATCATCCTCCGCAAGCGCCGTCATGATACAAACAAATAAATTGTGGGGCATTCAGAACCGACGGCAAAATAGACCTTCACCATACACAGGATCAGGTGCAAAATAGTCCTGCATTAGCTGAGCATGACCAACTGGTGCATCTCAACAAAGGTTAGGTCCACGACCAGGGTGGGAACCACCACGAGATTGTGGTTCTTCCAATAACAGAAGGATTGGGAGAAGATCAAGGTTGACAGTTGAAAGTGAAGACACAACTTGAGAGCGTAACAAAGCTCCAACCTGGTATTGAGCTAGGAATTCAACTAATTGTTGATTCATTGTAAGGTTTATGTTTATGTGAATTGTTCAAGATTTAAAATAAATCTAATAAGATTGATTGGAGGTATAAAAAACAATCGAAGAGGCTGATTGAAGATAAGACAAAGGTATCACTGAAATGTTTAAACAGGGAAGGCTGGAGACAATTGTATATACGTGTAAATTGAGATAAGAAAACGGACAAGGACAAAGGGTATTGCCTGAACAACGATTGTTTGGTTCTTATATATCCTGGTGGATGCCTGCCATCACACAGCACATTGCTCACGAGCTCAACAAGATTATGATATCCTCGTGCATACACCTTTGTTATATTACTTGGATGACCGATTGCAATTAGGGAAAAAGACGGCCGCCTACCGTGGTCTTTATGAGTGTTTTATGGTCTTTGAACTCGATCAGATGTATGGGAAGGCTAGGCTTATCAAAAACAATCTATGACATCTCAAATAGTCATGATTTGACAAATCAGTCAAGCTCAGACAGGTGTAGAACCTCAAAATAAATATCCAGCTCGTGCGTTGCTTGTGCTGTAGCTGGAACTGAGATACAGGTGTCCAAGTGTCAATTGTACACACCTGTACTCAGTTTCCATATCCCGGCGCATTGGGGATGCTCTTAAAAAGATGATGACTTTGTTATTTTAGGTAACTGATTGGAATATCAGAATGACAAGTACAGCCCTTTCCATAATGGATGACTTTGAAGAAAAAAAACCTTGAGTTTTCAAATAAAAAACCTTGAGTTTTTTTGTAAAGTGACCGAGTTTTGTCAAAAAGCTGCTGGGTTTTTCAAAAAGTCAGTGAGTTTTTTGGAAACCTGGCCCAGTAATTCTAAAAGAGAAAGAGCTCGCTCAGTTTTTGAAAAACTCAATGAGTTTTTGTAAAAAACTTGCAGGTTTTTTTTTGAAAACTCAAGTGTTTTCTCTTTTTCCAAAGTCATCAATTCTGCAAAGGGCTGTACACTTGTGAAACAAAATGTGTCATCAACGGGTTGGGTTTTCATGATCCCTAAAAGTGGTAAATAACATGACATCATTCTAGGTACAACTGTTTTCTCATTTAATTCTACCATTTTGTGGCTCTACATATAGCTTATTTCTTGATATACTCAAATCAGATCAAATAAAATTTAATCATTAGTTTATTGTAAGGTATGAAGAAATTTCTGATATAGTAGAGGTTTTGATTTTTGATTTTTATGAATACATAGATGTAGGTTGGAATAGGTTCAGTTTTTTATACTTTTTATTTATATTTACAAATCCAGTTTTCCAGTCTTGTGCAATTTACATTGTTCAAGGTGGTTACTTATTTATGTACTGCTGCGGCTATGTTGTTTTGTTTGAGGCATGAATTAATTAAAGGATCCCACTACAGCTGTTCCAACAAAGATTGATTTTTTTTGAAAATCTCGCCAATGTGCAAAACCCGGCTTTGGTCCCTCACTTGATTTTGTCTCTCCGCTAATTGGAAGAATACAGGAAATAATAAACTCGTAATCAAGTTTTGTCTTTGGTTTCAGCCGCTGCGGAGACAACTTTCTCCAGCAAAAAGTTGTCAACCTTTCTTGAAACAGCTGTATTTGGCGCCCACTCAAGTAATACCCAAAGCCCGCTTTTCTCGGTGCTTTACCCGCGTAAATCAGTCTTTTTTCCAAGAACCCAGACCCGCCTCAGCCAAATTTGGCTGCAGCCGCGTCACTTCCGGGCTCATACAGCAGCTCGTGCCCGCTCGGAGGAAACCGGGCTACTGAACTCTCAGAAGTGGGCAATAGTGGGAATCCAAGCTCATCCAAGTGGGCACTTGTGTTCTCAATCCAGGATGAAAGACCAAAACAAGATAGCCACACTAAGACTGCCCTCATATTCAACCCAGCACCAGTCTATTCAACTTACAAGTTCAACCCACCATCCTCAACAAGCCTTGTCCCAAGATGGTAAGTCTGTTTCATCTCTATCTCTCCCTGCCTTCATCCGAGATTTCAAGTAAGTAAGTTGCTGACCATTGTCTGATCACAGCCGTTGTTTACTTTTGTCCATTTCCCTTGTCTTTTCAACTCAACCGGCCCTCCAATCCCAAACATCACATTCATATCTTTGACGATGTCAATACCAGGACCTTCTACTTTGACTGTGAAGAAAAAATTGGTGAACCGTAGTGCTCCCCAAGGCTACCCAGTCTATCCACCGTTTCCACCTCCACCTTTTATGTACCCACCTTACTGCCCACCATTTCCGTATCCATCTCACAAAGACAATACTGTAAACAATTCAGCCCTTCCCAATTGGCCATATCCTCCCTATCCGTCACCGTTTCCTTATGGATCTCATTTACCTGCCTCATCATTTCACAATACGGACCACGATGAAGACGCTGCTTCTCATTCTCAACCTGATCCTAGCTTTATTGAGTCCAAGACAAGCGTCAAATCGGCTGTTACTGTTACTCTACCGACTCAATCCGCTCCTGTGTCTCAACTTTCCAATGTTTCTCATCCTGCCGAGTTTCCTCCATCTGCTCCTCTCATTGAAGACAAGACTACCTCCATTATTTCAACCACTTTGAACTCGTCGTTATTCAACACATCAGCAGATGCATCAACTTCTCACCCAACACATCCAATACCAATAGTCAATCAGCAACCCCCTCTTGATGATATGGACGTTGATGTGATTGACCTACAAGCTGAACGTGGCAAAAATGGCCCCCCATTGGTATATCTTCTGTTGTTTCCACCTTAATTCACACCAAGCTGACAGCTATTTAATTTTTACTATGATCTTTTGTGACACACAGGTGTTGAACCAGTTCGTCTATTGGAATCGCCACAATTCGGGAAGTTGAAAGCGGTGTTATGTATTTGAACGCGGTAGCTAGGCATCAAAGATATGCAATTGCTATCAAGAGCCACAGAGGCAATAAGCAACGGAAGTCACAGGTCTACTTCAGATGTGCACTTGGATGCCCGGTCCAGTCAATCGCTA